CTGTTCAGATCAAAAACTTTTCGGAAACAACAAAAAATGTTTGTCTTCTGAATGATAATCGGAAAATTTTATTAAACCGCTTTGAGAGTGAAACTTGATTGGTAATATTTTTGTGTCGATATCAGTTTTCACGCTTTTTGCTTGACGCTGCTTTTCTTCTGGCTGTGACCCAAAATTTATGTAGGTAAACAACTGTTTACTGTTTTTGTTTTTTATGTACTTGTCGGTTGTTATTTCATTTTATGAACTTGTTGGCCTGCTGTCGCATGTTTATGTGAATGTTGTATGCACTACATATTATAGTCATATCCATTAAAGGTTATACGGGCTAATAATAAATCGTATTGTCAGTTGGAGTGGGCTTGATAAAAGTTTTTAATATGTTTTATGTATTTAAAAAAATAAAAGACTTCATGCATTTATTATTCCTGCATAAAATTTTTCATATTTTGTTGACCTGCGTTACATAAAAAAATACACACATACACTTGAATATTTTGCCAGCAATATTTACGCACATTGCACTAAAAAAAAAATAAAATAATATTAATAATTCAATTTTATTTGTGTGCAACAGCATGAAAACCGCAATGCTTGATTATCTGAATACACAAAAAACCAAATCGTTGTGGCGCATTTAAAATTTAGTAAAGAAAGTCGAAGAACCCGAAAATATATACATATATACATACATATGTATATGCATGCATGTATATAATGTATAAATATATGTCTATCATAATTAACATTTTTATACAATTTTACAAAAATTGTTTTTGGAACTGTCTAACCGCAGGCAAAGGAATAATAATATACGTACATACATACATACATAAAAATAAGTATGCAAAATACAAAAATCAAATAAATGAAATTACTTGAATACAGATACAGATACAAATACAGAGATATGCTATACATATATGTATGTATATAGATATGTGCGTGTTTTTGGTTTGCGCAAAGCGATTTTGTGTGCAAATTCTCAAGGCCGAGCAAGGCATTTGTGGAGTTCATGCCAAATGTGTGCCTGCAGTTGGTTTATGGCCGGAGGCAACTGGCTTAATTGCAGTGGCTATGGCACACAACCGTCGGCATTCAAGCCGAGCTTGAAGCGTTTTTGTTTCTTTATGTATTATTTGATGGCATTACGGGGCGTTTGTCATTGCTGTGACAATTTGTTAAACGCGGCTTGTCACCCACACGATCAGCGTTTTGGCATTGTTAAGGCCAAAATACGCTGGCAACACCCACGCCGTTGGAGCCCACGGTGCGAGTCATCTAATTCGTGGCCCGAATGGTCTTGCATTCATAAATTAGCTGCTCGGTTACTTGGCGGCTAATGTATCGCACTTGAAGCAAAGTCGTGAGCCAATGCAAATTACTGCGCTCCAGCTGAATCAATCAATCAGCTGATCTGCCCGCGGTCGCCAAGCTGTGAGCTGAGCTCGGCATTAATTTGGTTTAGGTGTCAACTGAGCTAACTGCCTACCTGACTGCCTGACTGCCTGTTTGGCATATCTTATAAGATTGACAAGCTGGGATTAGATTTTGGCGTGAACAAGGTTGTCTGCGGTTATGTGGAAGCAACAAACAACATGTCTGCCTATAAATCAAATGACAAAGTATGGTAAAAACAATAGATTCCACTTACATTATAGCACTTCTTATCAAATGAAATGATATAATTCAAATTATGCCATTTGTTCGTTCGTTTAATTGTATTTAATGTGCGTCTATGCGACGCCTTTGCATAAAGCGCGAAGAGCAAACAGCGGAGCGGAAAATCTCTTGAGACTGTGAGCAACAAAAAATTGCACATAATATAATTTAATTTGCTTGGCAGCGCAGTGGAAAATGATTTTCATTTTCACCAACAAAAAAAAAAAGAGAGAAGAAGCAGCAACAGCAGCAGCAACAGAAAACAAGCAGAAACATTATGAACAGATATAAATAACAAGACATGGCTCGTTCTAGCTGTCCAAGCACATTAAGAGTCGGCCAAAGAACTCATTAAGCGATGCGAGTGAAAACTGAAATATTGAATACAGCATGGAATTTGTCGCAATAAACAAGCATCAAGTATATACATACATATACATTTATACATACATTTATATATGTGCGAACAATTTGTTCTCTGCGTTCCGTTTAATAGATGTTCAACAGCAAATTAAGGGCAGTTCGGCGAAAAGCTTTTCATTTAGTTGGCAACATTTTCCTGCGTCTCGCACGCAACGTGAGCAATTTTTTGTGCTGCAATCATGAAATCAGCAAGCTGAGATCTGTTCAAGCATAAACGCAATCATGACAGCTGCCAATTTTAATCGGTCAAATGTCAAATCGTTGGACAGACCCTGACAACAAACTGAAGGAGATGTGTGGCACACGAATTAGATGAATAAGCCGTGGAATTGCATTTGCATATGACACAGCTGGCCCCAGGCGGGGGGCAGTATCATAGAATCGGATTAGTCACTGGCGACGGGCCGAATCGATATCAGCATTTAGATAAATTATAATAATTAAGACCAAAGTCGATGCGCCATATGCGCAGGCAGCTTAATTAATAGCTTGCCTTTAGCGACTCCATGGCTCTCTTGCTCTCTCTCTCGCTCTCTCTCTCTCTCTCTTCCTCTAGCTTCACATTTACATATATGTATATGCATATATGTATGTGGTGTATAATTAAACCCCATGTCCGTTGCTAAGTGACCATTTAAGGGCATTGGGTGAGTTGGCTTGAGCAGGTTGTCTATATGTAGGTGTCGAGCGGCTAAACCAATCTAATAATTATCAATGAAAGATCTTTTGATTCATTAACAAGTTCTCGTTCTGCAGTGCTTATAAAGCAGTTGCTGTTTATTAATAAATATATATACATACATACATATATACTATATATATTTGTATATCTATTCTTATTTTTTTCAAACTGTATCGCTCATTCATTGGAAGTGGCGGCACTCTTAATGCAAGTCAAGTTTTAGTCATAATTTACATGTGTCTCGCTTATGACTCTATCTCTCTATCTTGGCAATTCAAATAGGCGAACACGGCCATATAAGGCGCACACACAGCGCTAACCAAATTTGGTGGCAAGCGAACTGGCGAAAAGAACTTGACGCTGGCGTGTGTGGGCAACATTTAAGTATTATTATTATGTTGCTTATTGTTTTGTTGATAGTTGATTGTTTTCTCAATTCAAATCCCGCACACATTGTCTAAACTATTGAAGAATGCTAACGAACTCTGTCCGAGAAACATCTCTGATCTGCTGTTGTTGTTGTTGTTTTTTCGAGTTCTTGTTCAAAAATAGACGAGGGCTGCCTTTCAGCCATCTTGGCCATGTGTCCAAACATAATTTTGAGGGCTTTATGACGCCCTTCTGAGTGCTGGTCGGCAGCGCCTTTTACGCCCAGCTGCCACATTTTGCAACATTTTAAATTTAGACTTGTGTGTATTTTTTCTAGCGCTGCTGCACTTTACGAGCGGCAGCGGAGCGTCAATAAATTGTCAAATTTTATGCATGGCGATTTTACATTTGGCAGGGATATTGCATTAGTCAGCCGAGGAGGAGGGGAACGAAGAACGAAGGCACAATGAACAACAGAAACTGGGCCAAGATGCATAAAACTTGAATATATTAAATATATAAAATATTTCCTAGAACATTTTCACTTTGTTGGATTCTTGAAGTTCACTTGAATTGGATATAAATTTCGTAGTGAAAATTTGCACGTTTCGTTGCGGCCAACGATTTGAGCAATAAATTTAAATGTTTTCAATAATAAATAATTGCATATCGTAGAAGGAGGTGCTTTAAGTATTGTATTGCCATAAGCAGAATGAATTAACCAATGTGTTATTTTGCTGGCCAACTCATGCAGCAAATTGATGACATACTAGACCCCCTAGGCGTGAGGCACAGTGGCTGCTTCTTAAGTCATGCCGTATGACATGTGCCCAAGCAAACACACCCACTATTAAAATATACATATATATATATATATAGCTGTATATATCTATTTCAATTGTCACATAGATCATAGCGAGACTGCCCTATCGTTCTGGTGACAAATTATTGGCCATTGTATGGGCCGGCTATAGTCGGGGGCACATGCCAAACTTAAACAATGCAACTGCGTCGAGTCCCAAACAACAACAACAACCAAATGTTGATCATATCAATTGTAAAGGCGCTGTCAACTGGCACAGTTGGGGGGCGACAGTGACAACGTCGACGTCGACGTCGACGACAGTTAGTCGCTGCGGTAGCCCAAACGCCAAATGTGTGAATTATGGCGCACAATGAGGCGTATGCGCAATTTGGCATTGCATTTTACATTTATTTAACACAGCTCTGCGCCGCTCCGTCCCGTCCGCATCGCTGTAATTTGAAAGGCAAATGCATGCCATAATTCGTTTATATATAAACCAAATGATTTCACTAGCTGACTATATATTGTTAATGGGGCCGTAGAGGTAAGGTATCTGCTGTGCGTCTGTGTGTTGACTAGTTTGCATCTAATAAATTAGCGGCATTAATATAAAGTAAACATTCACACGCCATTAATGGCTTGTATGTGTCGTCTATGCATGTATATGTATATGCTGGGGGGCAATTGTTGCTCGAAAAGTCAAATGAAGCGTCATTTAATACGCACATTTAACTAAATGGCAAATTGCTCTAATGACCGAGTTGAATGATTAGCCACATAGTTGTCAATTAAACAAAAAATAAAATAAAACTTGTTTTGCACTTGGATAGCAGCATAAAAGACAAAGTTTTTTTTTTTTTTATTATATTTTAATTATTCATACAAACATTTTGGCTGTAAGGCATTTTAGAAACTTTTATCGAATCACACTTTGGTCGTAATAATTTTGAAGTTTTATAGGAATATTTTATAGGAATATTTTTATAGGCATATTTTTATCTTTTTAAGTTAACGCATTTTAATTGCCAATTCATTAACAATTATTTTCTTTTATTGCAGAAATTGCACGTGTTCGTGCCTCCCTATTCCAGATTAATGGCGTTAAGAAGGAGCCCCTCACCCTGCCGGAGCCCGAGGGTGCTATGGTAACGCTGAACGAGAAGGTTTATGTGCCAGTGCGTGAGCATCCAGATGTAAGTAAACACATTTAAATATATAAACATTCATGAATATATTTATATATGTGTGTATGTATGTATATATATTGGGAAACGATCAGCGATGATCTAATTTATGAATCGAAGCACATTTGAAGCGCTTCCGCTAATTAGAATTGACAGCGCGGCCTGCTCAATGGGCCCCAATGAGCAACTGGTACACCGGAAATCGCTTTAAGGTGCGCCCTCTAACAGTGCCCAAAGACCACGAGACGCTGCTGCAACAAATGGGCGGTTAGGCAACACTCTGGCAGACACGCACACGTATCTAGAGGGAGAGAGAGAGAGAGAGAGAGAGGGAGGGAGAGAACACACCTTTAGACAGCTGATGGAATCAGTCGGCTGTTAAGTTGTCCAAAACATGGCAATTGCCGCAGTACGGCGGGGCTCGCCTTAAGACTCGCCAAATGCAAAATGCGTATCAGTTCACACACACACACAACACACACACGTGCATGCACATTTACATATGTATGTGTGTATGTGTTTAAAATGGGTTAGACAAAATCAGTGAAGCGTTTTAGGAAGTCGCTTGACGTCGTCGTCGCCGTCGTCGTTGTCGTCCGTTGTAGGCGTTTCGTTTCCCCGCCCAGCCAAACGCCATGGCAAATTAGAATTTGATTTAATTTTATGCAATTTCAAATGCTGTTTTTCTGTCTTTCTCATTTTAATTTGTTATTGTTGTTTCGTTTTCATTTTGGAAAATGTTTGGGCGTAGTTTTGCCTTATTTATGGCTGACAGCATCGCGAACCGAGAACCGAGTGAATTTATTTCATTGCTTGACACAATTAAAGCATGTCTTTCATTGAGGGGCAGTTCGTGCTCCACATAGCTATCTATTTGTCTATTTGCTATATATATTTATAGTTGTATATATATGTATATACATGTTCAATTTATAAAGTTTTTATTGGCTTATTTCGAGACGAGCCATCACTTAAAGCGCTCGATATGTAAATATGCTTGCTTTAAGTTGCTAATTAGTTAGACACGCTTAAATCTGTGGCAAATTCTCGCTGGCGAAAGTTGAGACTATTAGTTACCCTATAATTTGAGACAAAATGCAAAGTATTATCTACGTCATATACTATAGTATATGTAAATATTTAACGATTATGTCAGATTGACATAAGATTCGCTTCGAAATTTCACTATGTATTGGCTTGAAAGTTGAGCTGATTTAACTTATTTAATGTGCATTTCTCTAGGGTATTAAAAATTAAACACTATTTAAAGTCAGCAACTTCTACTTAATTAATTTCTGCCGCTGCATTGCATAAGCCGTTAGCCGTTAAGCAGCAGCAACTGTTTTGCATAAAGTTTTTTAGTTAGTTGTTTTTTTTTTTTTTTTTTTTTGTTATCTCGTCTTTTTCTTGATTTTGCTCCTACAAAGAGCAGAGCGATTTGATTGTGAACGAGGCAAGTCATAAATTAGAAAACGAACATAATTTGATGCTGAAACAGAGCAAAAGGCTAAATCAAAGTTGCTTTTGATGATGCTGTTGTTGTTGTTGTTGCTGCTGTTGTTGTTGTTGTTCCTTGTGCTTTCCAAATGGAAATTGGCACAGCTCGACCAAGATTTACGATCACAGGGCATAGGTTTTATAGATCTTTATATATACATATATAAATTTATTTGTATATCCACATATAAAATATGCTCAATTTTGTTTTATTTCTTTCGACTATTTCGGTTTTTTGATATTTCAGGTGTTCTCTGTATTTCGTATGCTTCTATTTATATGCCCATCGACCAGTTGAAGATTTTGTTTTTGTGACTGTGCGCGGGTGTGTGTGTGTGTGTGTGTGTTCATCATTTCGATAAATCATTTCATTTAATTGCAATATTTCTAGCTCGATAGCTGAACATGAACATTTCTGACATTTTTCTGCCGAATGACCGAAGCCAAATGTTTCCAAGCAAGACAAATTGCGTTTCAGGTCGCCAGGCAGGCAGGCAGGCAGGCAAGAAAATGCAACAAGTTTTCACAATGTTTATTGTCCATGCAAACACACACACACAACACACACACACGCACACAGTCATTGATATGTTTATACATAAACACATAATATATTGTTTATATATGTATATATTGTTTAGCCTCGTCATTGCTCATAAATTAAACCACTGAGAGTTAGGACACAGCGGGCAGCATTAGCCAAAACGTTTGCACGAAAAATAATAGCAGTAAATAATTTCAACCATATTTAACAATGTAAATAGTGATTTGTCAGCCGTCTGACAAGCGGCAACAACGAACGCCATGTAAATGGACAACAATTTGTCAACAAGGCTTATGTCTTATGCGAGTGCATCGCATTCGCATTGCATTCTGCAAGCCTACAAAATGCAGTCTCTCTTAATGCGCTCAATTGTTGCTGCTGCTGAGTGTGTCCAAAACATAAATACAACTTAATTAACGTCAACAGCAACATCTGTTGCAAACAAGCCACAGCAGCAACAGCAACAACAACAACAAAGGCATTTAACAGTTTACAATTAATTACTGAACTAGCTATTAACACATACACAGACTTGTATATAACGCATAGCTCCAGTTGAAGCTGTCCCACAGCCCAGTATTTATTTCAAATGCACTCTCGTCTCTCTGTCTATCTATGCGTGCGTCTCTTTCTGCTCGCCTGTCAACACAATGCTCAATCGTCCCGCGGCGTTCGCTGAGCGCCGAGATAAGTCAGATAAAAGATGAAACTTTTATTAAAGCTGCCAGGCAGCTGTTTAAATAGTATCAGCTTAAGTTTCTTCGCTTTTAGTATTTCAGTTATTCAAACGGCTGGCAGTCATGGCAATAGCTAGAAATTGTTGTTGGGCAGCTTGTAAAAATAAACAGATTTTGAAAAATATTTAAATAAGTAATTCATACGGGTTTATTTGAATTTAATGAAAGCCCTTGCTATAAAAATATTTATAGACAAATATCCAAGAGGATTGCAAAAGTATGGGATAGGTAGAAAATAAAAATAGAAATGAAAAAAATAAAATAAAAAAAAAAATAAATAAAAAAAAATTATTAAAAAAAAAAAAATAATAATAAAAATAAAAATAATAATAATAAAAAAAAATAATAAAAAAATAAAAATAATAATAAAAAAAATAAAAAAAAAATAAAAATAAAAAAATAAAAATAATAACAAAAAAAAAATTATAAAAAAATAAAAATTAAAAAAAAATTAAAACAAAAAAAAAAAAAAAAAACCAGAAAAAAAAAAAAAAAAAACCAAAAAAAAAAAAAAAAATAAAAAAAAAAAAAAAAAAAAACAAAAAT